AATTATGTATTACTATTCTATCGATCTATATATTAGCTTATATATTAGTTTGCTCAGAGTTTAAACAAAATTAAACTCTATTTGTAAACTTCATTTAGAGACACAGGACACTAAATGAGGTTTTAAACCTGAGGCCCTTATTCTGAGAATCAGCGAGACAAGAGTATGGTTTGGACTTACGCAGTAGAATTGAACGTAAATAAAATATTTAGTCAAGCTGGAAATTTCCTTATAAGGAACTGGGCTTAAGCCAGATATGCTGGTCAGGTTCAAAGAGATTGAGAAAATCTTTCAGTCTACTAAAGTTTTGAAGAACTGCCATTGAGTAATCAAAGATTTATGGATAGTAAGCGAGTTCCAAGTGACTACGACCAGGAAAATTCTAGCAACTAAGAAGAAACTTACTAGCAATGTGACCAGATTCAAATTACTCAATCTGTCAAAATCCTAGCATCTTCATCCATATAGTGGGGATGTTTCGGAGAGACCAAATAAATTACATATAAAGATGATGGCAGTGGCCACTGTGGTAGCCACGCTCCAAGGTGACCCACAATGATTCCTACCTTTCCATATTTATACCCTTGTGTCACTTCAACTACCTTGGACCAGGGTTGGCCTGTGACAAATATGGCAGAGGTAGTGGTATGTCATTTCTGAGGTTAGGTTATAAAAGTTCTGTCTTTGTTGTGCTCTTTTTATGTCTGTCTGTCTGTCTGTCTGTCTGTCTCTCTTTAGGGAAAGCCAGCTGCCATATTGTGAGCGACCCTTTTGAGAGAACCACACGGTGAGGGGCTGAGACTCTGCCAGCGGAGTGTTCCTGGAGGCGGACCCTCTAACCCTGTTCCGTCTTCAGGTGACTCCAGCCCCGGCCAGCACTTTGGAGAGCAATCTAAGAGATACCCTGAGCCAGAACTACCCCGCTAAGCTGTTCCCAGATCCCTAAGCCCAGACACTTTGTGTCATAATAAAAGTCATTCTAAGTCACAAAGTTTTGACGTAATTCATTACGTTGCAATAGATAATAAACACAGCCGCCTAACAATAACTATAATAACTGATCGATCAGGTTCCTTTTTCTCTTCGTAGGAAGAATTTGCCAGTGTTGCTAGGGTCCGGACTTGGGTACAGTGATTCCAGTGGAATTATTGTCCTTCTGACTCGCCACGTAGCTGTCTGAGGCGACGGTATCCAACAACTCAAACACGTGTCACTTCTGCCGTGTCGTCCTGATTACCTGCCCCTCCTGGCATCCAGTACACAAGTCTCATTGGCAGCGTTTGGGAGAGCAAAGCTCCTCATGGAGACGAGAGTCCTGCTCGTCTTCGTTGCTGTCGATACCGAACCACTGCACCCCATGTGCTGCCTCGACTATGACTGAAGGTGAATGACATCCACTTTTCACCTGCAACAACCACGCCTAGAACGCACGCAAGAACTGGCAAGATGATCTCACCTTTCAGACCTCAGTCCGGAACCACTGCTTCCATCGACCTGATCCTTACCTTTTTACAGCATTCTTTCGTACTGTTTATAGGTCCTTGTCTTTTCTCTGGTTCCTTAATTCTGGCTTTCTATCCTTCAGGTCCTCTTCAATAAACATCTTACTCTGTTTCACTTGGCCCTGCTCCTTCTCTTGGTGCTGTCTCTTTCGGGAGAGATTTGGCCGTATTTGCCTTGGCACTATAAGCTGGACTCGGAAAAATTCTAGATTTGTTGCCTGTTCTCACCGTTGAAATGTCGCCTCTGACTCTTGCACATAACCACGTGGAATTATTCACCCTCCCTTGGTTTGGGCCGGGGTAGCTTCTGCTCTTTTCTCCCTCCTCAGATCTCCTGGTTTCATCTTGTTCCTTATGCCAGCATCTCTTGATGATGCTATTAGTCCCTAAATACAGACCACGGGGGTTTCGACTGTGGTTGGCGTTCAAATCGCTTGGAGCCCTTAAAAAACATTCAGATACCCAGGTCCTCTCCCAGACCAATTAAATCAGAATATCTAGGTATCGAGGTCTCAGGATCAATATTTATGAAAAGCTTCCAAGTTGATTTCCATGAGTAGCCAGATTTTAAGAGCAATAACGTGCAGCTAGGGCTGGGCAAATTCAAAATGCTGTACTCGCGAAACGAAAGCCATGTGGGAGCCAGATTCACACTCGGGTGGCCAGTCTGTGACCTCTGGAGGGTGAGTTGACAGACAGCCTTGCTGGGAAGCCAGGGGTTTTGTTTGTGTATCCCACTAGATGCTCCCGATGGGCAGAGCAAACAGTGATCAGAGAATTCAGAAGCAATTAGCTAGTGCACACACTCCCAGGGCAGTCCTGCTCCAAGGGGACATGTGATAACCTGTAAAGAATTATATGTTTATGGGGAACAAACCCTTGCTGAAAGATGGTGTCATGCCCACGTGCTGTACAGAAAAAAAACGGTCGACACTAGGAATCCCAACCCAGGGCTAATGCCATTTTCTTCTGAAAAGTTCTGGTTGTGCACATGGAGATTCGAGAGAGAAGCGTTAAAGCTATAAAGAAGGAGAAATCAGAAGCTTGCCTTTTGAAGGGAGAATAAAGTACCAGTATCTCCAAGTACAGTTCTTAACCTGAGCATATGACCGGCCATATTCTGTTACAGTCGTTAGTTATAAATATAACTTTTAGAATATGGATTCGATCTTCCAATTACTGTGAACAGCAAGATTCTCGAGGTGAATTAAAGGCCATTTTAATTGCTTTCAAATTTATCTCCTCTAACACTTATATATGACAGCACTTTTAAGGGATGCTTATATGCACAGCAGATGCTTTCTGAATTAAAAAAAAAAAAAACATTTGACGGAGTAGTTTAAGATGTTTTAATATAGCCATCACCACTGCTCCGTGGATTAATTGATAGAAATGGTATCGATAACTTTTAAAGGTTTTTGTTAGTTCTATTCATAAGCTAGAAGCAAGGAGATTGATTATACTCCAACCATAGTCTTGATAAAAAAATGCATATATTGATATATAGTAACTATATTGAATATATATATATATATATATACACACATATATATATTCATAAAAGAAAATTCAATATTTAAAATTAGGAGCTCTTCAAAATTTTTCAATCTTCCAGACTCATTCTGGTCGATGGTCCAGGTTATCGGAGCTGTGAGCTCCTAGGGGGACAGGAAGGGGCTGCTGGTCCCTGAGAAGTAGGGCCTGGAAAGCCACATGGACCTTGTTTGGAATACTGGCTTCTCAGCACTCGAGTTCTGTGACTCTAGGCAATCACTTAACCTCTCATGCTGAGTCTCCAAAAGGATCACCACGTCTGCTTCCCCAGGTGATTGCTGTCATCAGATATTGTGATGCCAAGCATATACATGGTATTTTTTGAATGCTTATTCTCAGCAGACACTTGGTGAAGTGCATGGGGACAGAATGAGAAGTATAAAAGTGTGGCCTCTGTATTTTAGCAGCTGACAGTATATTTAGAGAGATAAAATATCAAGAATTGGAAAATAATTCATTAGAAATACAAGGTACCTATGTTAAGTTACAAAGTAATATAATTATTAGGTGCTATAAAGTATACAAATTCAGAGAACGACTATCTTCCAGAATCATGTATCTTGAATATCATAAGCCATAAAGATTCTTTTTGTTAAATATGTCCTCTAACCCTCATACTCACCCTATGTGTAAAGAAATATGATTTAATTTAATCCTCAAAATCACCATTAGAAATGTCATTTGATCAATAAGTAATTTTAAAAATGTATCCTAGTCTATGGCCATGCTCCCCTGAACAAGCCTGATCTCATCTGATCTTGGAAGCTAAGCAGGGTTGGGCCTGGTTAGTACTTGGATGGGAGACCACCCAGGAAGACCAAGTGCTGTAGCCATAAAAAATTAAAAAAATAAGAGATTGTAAGCTGACAATCTGTGAGGTCAACCAAGAGTTGCCTCGTCTAAAAAAAAAAAATGTATCCTAACTGTGAAGTATGTAATTACTGTATGTAATTAGTCAGAGATTCTGAAAATGAATCAACTAAATGCTATTTGTAGTACAGAGGGGGTTAATAACTGCACCTGAATATTGAGAATATTAGACTCGGGATCTGTAAGCTGCCACAGCCAATGGAAGGCCTGCTGGTGAGTTGAGACCCAGTGCAAGTAAGCCCCAAAGTGGGGCAGAGGTCGGGTTTCCATAAGCACCAGTGGTTTGGTTGGCGGGCACCTTCCAAGAGCTGATCTTCAGTACACGTCAGCAAAGATGCTCCGACAGCGAAAGGTGATGTCGGTTGTCTCAGGTGCTGGTCAGAGTCAAAAAAAATTAGGGTGGCCAAGAATAGAACAGGGATTCTGCATGTACAATTCTCTTTCGGGAACTAAAGAGACGAGAGAAGGGCGTTTAATTCCTTTCCTTTTCTGTGACATCACCAAACAACGAAACACTTCACCGTGTTATCGCTCGCAGCCTGGCACGAATAATGGATCAATTTCCTGACACGTTCACAAACACAGACGTCATAAAATCACTAAGCATGATTATAACACCAGGAAGTGTTCAGTCACTAAGGCTGTGATTATATGTTTTCCATGCTGTGTTTCTGAAGGTCAAGCTCCAAAGGTAGATCTAAATCCAGGTCAAAGGTCACTTCCTGGACATGATTTGTGGTCCCCTGAATTTTTGCTGTGTCTGTACAATACAAATTACTTTGAGCAATTTCATTAAAATCGTGTTCATTAAAATTTGGGGCGGGGGTTTGTATGAACAAAGGTTTTTAATGTAGTGCAGATAAAAAAAATTGATGGGTTACGTTTTCCTTTCTTTTTGCAACCTGAAGAAGAATATTTCACAATGCGATGAATCATCTGACATTCACTAGTACGTCCGTAGTGTGAAAGAAAGAACCCGGGACACAGGGTTTGCGTCCAAAAATGTGATTTCTGAAAACCACGACGTCTTTAAAGACAGTAAAATAACCCATTAAAGTCTTTTTTTCTCTACAGATCTGAAGAAGCAAATGTGACGGTCGTAAAGAAGACAATTTTCATGTCCGAGAGACCCACGAACATGGTGCCTCAGAATAAATCCACATTCACAGGACGGTAACATTATTTGGAAATTATAGCGTCTTAAAACTAACCAAATCTGTGGAAAATGGGCACTCGTCGCTTCCTTGGAAGGCCTTTGGGAAAATACGTCTCCAAGTGTCCCGAGGAGCCAGCACTTCGGAGAGAGGGCAGGAACCTCGTGTCCTTTCTCTCTTACGTCTGGTCATGTCTAACGTGGGAGTTCGTTGAGCCTGACAGGCAGATCGTCCTTAAAGGCAGCTGATCTCATTCCCCGTGGGCGCCGAGTTCCTCCTTCCTGAACTTGTGGGTGAGCCCAGAAGCTCTGGCGCTGCCCATGACTCACCCCGCCCCCGCCCTACTGTGTGCAGGCGCCCTGAGAAGGCCCGCAGAACCCCATGGCCACCGAGCAGCGGAACGGCGTCTTCTGCGATTAGACAGCTCTCCTAAGCCTCTGTGGTTCACGCGAAAAGCATTCTTCCAATTGTCGCAGATGTGAAATACCCTGCGTTTTCCAGTCAACGATGAAAAGCTCAGGGTCCTATTTTTGCAGGAGATGCTGGCACCGTTTGAGTTCGAGGGGAAAGCATTCGAAACTTGAGTGGTATGTATATTTATTCTGCGTCTAAATCTTGCACACGAAGGAGAGATTTTTTTTTCAGTTATTCAGGTTTTATCAGGGTAGAGAAAGTCAAGACGGATGGTGCGCTCTCCAAATAAAATATTTTTTATTACGTTGACTGGATGCTTAACAAATAGTTATTTTTGGTAGTGTAAAATGGACTGCCTTAGCTCCTCCGCCCCTCGGCCCCCCTCGTCTGTGAAACGACCTGCGTGCCAGGTGCCACCCTCGTGCCTCAGGAATCCAGAAGCCTGGCCAAAAGGAAGCGCGCTAATGTCCTCTGTGGATCTGTTTTCTCAGAAGCCTTTCCTTTTTCTTTTAAAAAATTCTACATCTCCACCCCCATCCACCACTGAGTCCCTAGCGTGCCGTCTCCACGATCGTTCCTGTGGGGTCCCTAATAGTATCTCTCAGCCCCTCGCTTTCGGCTCTCCCTACATGCTGCTCCTTCCCCTGGAAGGACCTTCTTCCTCAGTCCTATTAACCGGCTCTGCTCCCTTATGGGCCAAGTTCAAGTATCACCCATCTAGGGTCCCTGAGAGCCCCATCGGCCACAGATGCTGCACCCCCTCCATCCTCTGCAGACCCCGAGGACCCTCCCAGCATTCTGTGCATGCCGCTGCCACGGCACCTGTCATGCTGAACTGTAAGTGTTGACTTACAAGCCTGACTCGACCATATTTATAATGCTATATATATTTTGATTCTGTAAGTTCTGGCAGAGTGCCTCGCACATGGTAAGTGTTATTAAATGCCCCCTGAATCAACCAATCGACTTAATAAAATTAGTCAAATGTTTTGCACATCATCTAATTATAATTACCTGCCAATTTTGGTACCCTTTAAAAAAATTATTGCTCCCCAATGAACAAATACATGGGAGAAATATTCATCCATCTGATAGTTCTCTGTTCAATAGCTTACCAGAAGAGCTGACGTGGAAAAATGCAGGAACCTGTCTGTATACTATGTTTGTGGACTAAGCTCCTTGATCCTGTTTGTTTTTGTTTGTTTGTTTGTTTTTTGTTTTTTTTTTGGTTTGTTTTTTGGGGGGCAGGAGGGAGATAAAACATATAAGTAATAAAACTGGAAGTTATTTTCTAAAATAGCCATCGCCCGATCTTCATGGATTGGTTGATGTCTTAAGACGGCCAACAGCACACTGGTCAGAGCAGATAAACCCCATTCCTTTTAGGAAGCTGAACAGTGGTCCAGGTTAGTTTGGCCACCAGGAAGGAAACTCTTCATCCACAGGAAGCAAGGTGGAGAGATTGCTACCATATACCAGCAGCAAAGTCTTGAAAAGTAGGTCCAAAGCCTAAGAGGTAGAGACGCCACGTTTCCTCATTTGCCCAAGACAGCCCCAGTGTGTGCAGGTAGTTTGAGCACAACTATTTGTAGTGCCCTGTTTCCATCTTAAAGGTGTCCCGGGTAGGAAAGGTGTCCCGGGTAGGTCATCGCACTGGGATGAGGAAAAGAGATGGCGACTCACGTGCATACAGATGCTGTGCTCACGAGTACTCCACACATCCCTCGCATTTCTTGTCCACGAAGGAAGAACAGTCTCTCTTCCGGTGGTGGTACTAACTGGATTGTCTTGCATCCGGGGTAGTCATTTCCACTCTTAACTCATCCAATATCACTTCTTCCGTTATTTATTTTATTAGATAATTTTGAATGAACTATACTATTTAATTCATTAAGTAAATTATGGAAGTCATTTGCAAGGAGTTGTTTGTCCTTTCGTGTAGCCATTTTTTTTAAACGCCTTGGAGCTGAAGTGGAAGCACACAGCCTCTTCCCCAGAGATCATTCTCGCTTGATCTTCCAAAATAATAAGTGCCAGTAACTTCAGGGGGAAAGTAGGGCAGGGGCAGGACAGGCATGCACAACAGCACGGAATAATTCTTCTTAGATGGCTATCCTGTCTCAATGAAAGTTTGGAGCTTCTCAGTTTAGAGAAACAGCTCGTTGGCCTTGAACGTGGTATGGGGTCAAGGCTGGGGAAGGGAGGGCCGCGGTGACCGTGAGCTCATCATCTAAACGGAGCCCTTTGGGTTCAGTGCACAAGTACAAATCATCCTGGGAAAATCCAAAAGTTCAAGCTGCAGAGTTTTCCTGTTTCAAGAGCAACGATCAAAGGTTTTTATCAGGCAGATGGAATGATTTGTCTGGTAAATGGAGAAAGAACATACAGTGATAGAAGCGGCTCAGATAAGCACTGGAGAATCTCAGAAATGTGAGGTTAGATGTTGTTACTCGGACTCGATGAAGCTGTAGCATTAGAGGACTTGACAGGCTCTTCCTTCCAGCCAGCAGAAAGATCCTGCCTGAAAGAGACAAGCCAAGGCTGAAAGTAGCGTGTCTGAAAGAGGATTTATTGAATGTCTATCCTGCCAAGCACTGTGCTCATCAATGGCTGACATGTCCTTGCTCGGACAGACCTTACATTCTAATTCACAGAGAGATGCTCTTAGGAAATAAAGTCAGATAGTGACAACTTAGTAAGGGAAAAGGAAGCAGGATAAGGGGCTAGGGGACGATATGTGCTTTTGTTATAGATAGGACAATCAGGACATCTGAGGGGACAGTTCCTGGGCCGAGATCTCAACAAGTATACATTCCTCAAGAAAGGAGCATGGCTGGTATGTCAAGGAATAGCAAGCTGGGTGGCCCCCGTGACAGAAGCGTAGTGAGCAAGGAGAGGTAGAAACGGAGGAGGTAGACCAGATCGTGTCGGGAGATGATGATGATATTTACAGAGAAGACGGTGGCAGAATGATTAGACTATCTCGGGGCTGGCGGTGGAAGGGATGATGTTTTCCAATCTGAGATACGTTTTTGAGGTTGAGTGAACACATTACCTGAAGAATTTGGTTCAAAATGTAAGAGAAAAAGAGGAGTGTTTAGGAGACACGTTGGCAGAGAGTCGCCAGTTTAATCTGGAATCTCGTAGGGACGTTAACGCCACCATCTCCACCTCAAGTCGAGGTTAGTGCCCACAAAGGCAGAAAGCTCAGGGAATTTAGGAGGAAATAAGAATGAGACCAGGCTTCTTCCAAGCTTCTCCGGCTATGCCTTCTTTGCCAGACAAAGGGAACTGTCCCGCTGTGAAGACAGGGATGTGGGGTAGCCTAAGCGTAAGGATGAGGAATGCATTATCCGGGCCTCCATCCAGAAAGGTAAGTTTTCAAATTGCCTCGAGTAACCGGCCAAGAATATGGGTGCAGCCACCGAACGAGGATCTGTGAGATGAGAACATCACGGAGATGTGTTTCTAGGCGATAAAATGGCCTAGATTCAGAGCGCCGTGAACCGACAAGGGAGGTGGCCTTGATGCTGGCCGTGGAATGGATCACAAGCACCTAGACCCAAAGAAAATAGACCAGCAGCCTACTAAATTTTTTAAGTGAGCGGTACTGCCAAAAACACCCCTACCACTGGCCAAAAGGGCCTGTATTTCTCAAGCCCTAAGATAATTCCAAGGATCCAGCAATCACATCAACAGGAAGCGGGCTACTCAAGTGGTCAGGCCCAGCAACTGCATCCTTTCCAAAGTCTATCTCCGCGGAAGACAACAGACAAGGGAAAGCCATTCATCGGGTAGAACCAGGGGTGTTCTCATTAGTTGACCAAAGAACACCTTCCATTGCCAGGACAGGTTGTCCTTGTTATTGATGGCCAGCAGAGGATGATATGTGCCATGACCAGTGATTTCTGCAGGCTTCACATTGCCCACTTTCCCAAATGGAAGTTTTATTTCATCTCTGCGGGTCTCTACTAACTTTCGTTAAGGGAAGTGTTAGGGATCCTGCGTTCCCCCAGAAAGTGAACCCCAATCAAAAGCATATGTGCTGTTATTACTCTATTCGGATGTGTGAATGATGGGAACAGGGCTGAGAGGCAAAGGGAGTGCATTAGCTAAGGAAGGAAAGCCAAGGCAGAGTCATAGTATCGAGCTGGCTGCTGCTAAGGGCCTGTATTTATTTTATCGCACGGGGCTGTCGTTCGGGAAGCCATGTAAAGTGTGTCTCAAAGGCGTACGCCGGCGAGATGTAGGGATGCAAGGTTTTTCATTAGCTCTCATCTCCCAGCAGTCACACGTTTACCCTCCAGACTTCAATACTTTTTCATTGTGAGTTGTGCATAAGTGGGAACCAAGTAAAGACCCGCAGTATCCCACGCACACTGAGAGGGAGGCCACAGGGAAGGACCAGGGTGAGGTGGGACCGGGCTGTACCTTCAAGACACTGATGGAATCCCACGTGCAGGATGGCATCATGACGGTGGGAGAGAAAAAGAGGCAGGTCAAGCGGAGTGCATCTGAGGTGCTACGCAAGAGGTGCCTGGCACTTTAGGGTTACTTCTTGGATGGTGAGAGACGTACCTGGCTCTGGTGAAGGGGACCACCTATGACACAGTAATCCTAGATTCAGAGATGGGGTCACTAGCTGGGTGAGAATTTGTCTTACCTCTCTTTTTGCGGGAACTTCATACAGTTTGTGTAATTGAGAGTTTTTGAAAGCCTATGTACAGAAACGGGGTATGAACAATGCTGTGTAACGACGGGTAGACCGCAGTTGCCTCCCCATTACACTGGCCCCCGGCATCGTGTAGTTACCCATGTCATATCTGTGGGCTTGACCTCAATATCCTCTTCCAGGGGTGAGCTATAGTTGGGGTAAGCTCATCAACATTATCGCAACTCTTGGGGGCCACAATGATTGGCCCAGGAACGTTCAGTAGCCCAAGACCAAGCCAATCCAACTTAATGACAAATGTACAAGACTTCTGTACAGTGGGGAACTGGACTGGACTGTGCATTTTGCAGCTGGGAGCCTAGAACTACTGCATCCATCTCGTTCACCACGAAGGAAGACAGCTGAGCATGAAGCCAGCTCATGGAGAACGCACAACGGTGAGAATATAACAAAAGAGTATGGTCGACACACCAAACACACTGCCTGAAAACCAGGTTAAAGTTCACATGAAGTACTGAGTTTTCTTCCTTGTTTAGACGACTTCGAGTTGAATTTTCCTTCCCTTGTACCCCAAAACACCCTCGTTAAAATGGTCATTGTTGGGTCAAAGCTGAGGATAATTCTTCCTGGGTTATAAACCACTAAGTGGTGTGTTTACAGAGCCATAGTAGTAACTCGGGAGACTGTAAATGTGTGGTGGGTGGAGGAGACACGTGCGAACCACCAAGTTCAGGTAGGGAGACTGGGTTAGAGGTTCCTGCTGTAGTTGCGAGGAGGTAAGATTGGAATATGATCTTCAACTACCCGAGTTAAAACCGAGTCAACCAAATTGTAAATATACAAAGAATGAACGTGTTATCAGAAGGGATATGAACAGCATGCGACCTAGAAATACCAGGATGGAAAAATAAGTTTTCGTATTTATCCAGGATTATCCACGGATCTGAAATACTGGGTTTAAGGTCATGAGCATTCTTATCCCCAGAAGGATTTTCAAATAATCATCAAGCCAATCTATCTCTCTTTGCTTGGATTCTATACTTTTTGAAAATTGAAAATGAATAAAGTATAAACTCGCCAGAAAGAAATATCTCCCAAGGTAAATTTTTCTTTTGGAAGAGCAGCTATAAAATTAATGCTAACACTTGGGCATATTAAAATAAAGCCAGGCATCATTTTTTTCAGCTGGGTGGTTTCTCATACACTGATTAGTTCTAGTGCATTAGTGGAGTGGTAATGTTTTGGCATCGATTCACAAGATCATATTTCTAGACATTTATCCTAACCCTGTGAAATGTAAACTTTGACAATTTTATTAGTGG